TACCGGGGCTGCCATACAAAAAAGGATTCACATAACAATAGGCAAGTGTAAACAAAAATGTAGTTTCAGCTTTAGATCATTTAACAGGCGACAGTGTTGAAAACTTAAACCGAACTGTTGACTCCGAGAACATTAAGGTCTTCAATACTGAAGTAAATACGTATATATATCAAGCAAATTCTGATATATTTGTTTGCGGTCAGACGGTGGCAACTACCCAGTTTTTAACGTTGACTCACGAACACTGTGTCTCTATATTGTGGCCCTATAGATACTCAGCAGAGAGACATCACCTGTGGTGTATCTCACGCAGATATACTGTTGAAGTTTTCATAATATGGAGACGGATCTTTCATGAACACGAAACGGCTGACATCTAGCCCTGAAATATGTTAATAAAAAGTTCTTAGATTTTCTAAATAACCTACGATGAAAATGAGCTCAGGGATTTTCTTCATTTTCAGAGACTAAACAAATCTGCAGTTGCTTGGAGTTACACAAGCCTATTATCAACCTGGCACTGACTAACCATTGAAAGTGCGTGTGACAAAACTATTTACTGTAGGCTTGTCGAAGTTAAAATTCATTTTATTAACAGAAGAACTGAGTTGATGGTTCAGCAATGTCTGGGTTGTTGATTTTCCATTAAAGCGTCGTACTGGTATGAATAACACATACCTTCTTTTATCATCTAATGGAGAGTGTTATCGGTGCAATAAAGCAATCTGATAAACTTGGTATCCAAATCTCATAACTATGCAAATTACGACAATCCACGAACTACTTTCTCAAAACTCCATACATGCCATGCGAATCCTAAAACGTTTAACATTTCATTGATGACGTCGTCGCGAGTTTAAATTGCGTGGACGAGTTTGTAAGCAAACATGGCTTGCCCCCATTATCAAAATTAGTGATTCTATAAGAATTGATGACAGAGGTTCTGGAGTCGTTATTGCAGTAATTGACTTTGGAAAACATGAAACGGAGAACTTCGTTCAAATTGAAGGTACGGATTGTTAGGCACGAGTGACAGACGATCGTCTAAGAAAGGTACCAACCAAGGATTTCGATCTATCGATCACAACAAAAACGACGACGAATCGATTCCGTCAGGTATCAGAAACTGATATTGATGAGGTGATTACCCGCAATGAAAATAGAAACACTACCAAGAAAACCCTGCCTGATTTTGTTTTACAATGATATTAATGGGGTATGCACATTAGATGAAACACCGAGAACAAGTAGGGCTGGTCTACGTTAACGCTCATCACGTACCGCATGTGCATTTGTTTCACTGTTCCATCTACTGCGCTTACCCCTTTGTAATACAAACCAATAATAGCGATTTGAATCTATGATCGTTTGTTAAACAACTTTTATCCTAAGTTGAATAAATTTCTGAGATTTAAATGTTCATTTGGCAAGGTAAAATTATGAGGATTCGCAATCTTAATTTCACTTAATTTGATTTACTTTATTGTTTAAAGTGAAATTCATCGGTACGTTTTCACTGCAAACAGACTATTTGTTTTTGCAGGGAATTCTTTTCACATGCTGTAATAGGCCATGTTTAGGTGTATACGTCTTAAGGCATGATTGACGTTAAATCACGTTTCCTTTTGACGTGAATGCTTGCCACTGAGGGACTCATGTTAAATGACCGACATGACTAATCTATTACCACCACGGTTGTAAATGAATTAGAATAATGTCACCTGGGCTCATATGACTTAATGATTGTCTGTAAATTGAAGAAGAAACGTGTGAGAAAATGCTTCTTGCCTAGCGGTTAATGATTGACCCGTGAAGATCCGGACTAGAATTGATCTTCAGTAACCAATGCTTGTCGTAAGAGGCGACTAACGGGATCGGGTGGTCAGGCTCGCTGACTTGGTTGACACATGTCATCGGTTCCCAATTGCTTAAATCAATTCTCATGCTGTTGATCACTGGATTGTCTGGTCCAGACTCAATTATTTACAGACCGCCGCCATATAGCTGAAACATTGCTGAGTGCGGTGTAAAACTATACTCACTCACTCACTCGGTCAATGACCTGAAACCATACTGTAGAGCAAGGGGGATGACCTCAAAGTCCATGGTGTAAAACCTGTAGGAGTATTCAGGTGATGGCTGGGGTTTCACAAGTTTCATTTTGAATCATAAAAATATATTGAATGTCAGACAGACCATATTGGACATCTTTTTATGACGTTCGTCTGAGAGCACGGCACTCTCCTTCTGTTCATCACCGGTTCTTTTGTAGATTCGGATAACTTCGATTCTGCGATTTGGAATCTACAAAAGCATAATATTTAATTACATCACTCTTCGTACTGATTATCACATATTTAATTGCAATATATGTACTTGTAGTTGGACGATGGGGTAGCCTAATGGTTAAAGCGTCCACTCGTCACAGTTCGATACGATGTGTGAAGCCCATTTCTGGTGGACCGCCTCCGTGGTGTAGTGGTTAGAGCGTCCGCCCGGAGAGCGGAAGGTCGCGGGTTCGATCCCCGACCGCGTCATACCAAAAGACGTTAAAATATGGTACTTGTTGGTCCCTGCCTGGCGCTCGGCATTAATGGGTACAACAAGGACTGGTCAGCTCGGAGTCAGTATAATGTGTCTGAGTGGGGTATTCATGCTTCACTGCGGCATGGTATCTCAGTGGGCTAGCACTATAAAACCAGCTTAAGTCTGGGCTAGTACAAGCAGCCGCACATACACATACACACGCATGCACGTCGTCATATGAGCGAAATATTCTCAAGCACGACGTTAAACCCAATTTCACCTCACCACCATTTCTAGTGTCCGGGATATAGATGGAATATTGCTAAAAGAGGAGTAAAACATACCGATTACTTGCAGTAAAATAACGGATCATTGACCTCTGATTCTAGCGTATAATTCAATGATAGGTAAAAGACTGGAAATGAATACAAGAGGCATGTATAACATACAATTGTTGAACGATACACTGACCGCTGTGACATCCTATATCGTGTTACATTATTAAAAAAAGGGGGCGGTGGTAGTTCAGTAGTAAAAGCGTTCGCTCGACACGCTGAAGACCTGGGGTCGATTCCCAAAATGGGTACAATGTGTGAAGCTCATTTCTGGTGTCCCCCGCCGTGATATTGTGATATTGATGGAATATTGCGAAAAGCGGCGTAAAACTAAACTCACTTGCTCACTCATCATTACAAGAATTTACTCCGAGAAATGGCCTTTTCTTTTTCATTAAAAACATATCGATCTTTTTAGACATGAATGAAGAATGAAAACAAATTGGTATAAACACTATTTCATAAAGATTCATAAAAGCATTATCGTATCGCATGGTGACAGTCACTGGATTGTCTGGTCCAGACTAGATTTGTTTACAAACAGCATCGTACAAATATATATACTCGTGATATAGTCACAATGGTACAATCGACTCTGCTTTAAGTAGAGATTTCTTCTGGATGTGGAAAGGGTTTTGTCGCTTCTATTTGCAGGTGAAACTCATAGTAATCCGGTTTCGGCGAAACCGGTTCTAGAGACTAGAGTCACATTTAACTTTAGAACAATTCAACTCCTCGAGTTTGTTTGTGGCGGTTTATAAGACAGGGGAAAACCTGCCTCCGAGGTTTAGGTTGGAAATGTAAACACTTTGGAGAGGCAAACGATCGAACCTAATCCTGTTTCATGAAAATCGACTGAACCGGTTACGGATTGGCGTCAAACATTCTTTTTTAGACAAGAATACTTTAAAGTTTGAGTTTGTTTGTTGCTGTTTATAAGCGAGTTAAAGACATGTAAACAGTTGTGACCCTCTGGTACAGTTTCTTTGCATTGCTTTTCCTAACGTTTATACCTTTATTTACAGTTTCCCAGTATTGCTTTCATCCGTGAAGATCCTGGTTACAATTGATCTTCAACATCATATGCTTGTCACAAGGGGCGACTAATGGGATCGGGTGTCAGACTCGCTGACTTGGTTGACACATGTCATCGTATCCCAAATTTGTAGATCCATGCTCATACTGTTGATCACTGGATTGTCTGGTCCAGACTCGATTATTTACAGACCACCGCCATATAGCTGGAATACTGCTAGGTGCGGCGTTAAACAAAAAACCAGTCAACCGTATAGCTTTCCCTACGTTGTTACCTTTTAGTATAGTTTCAAAGTATAGCTTTCCCTAACGTTTCTTGGTATAGTTTCATAGTACACCTTCCCCTAACGTTTCTTGTTATTGTTTCACAGTATAGCTTTCCCTAACGTTTCTTTGTATAGTTTCATAGTATAGCTTTCCCTAACGTTTCTTTGTACATGTATAGTTTCACAGTATAGCTTTCAATAACGTTTCTTGGTATTGTTTCATAGTATAGCCTTCCCTAACGTTTCTTGGTATTCTTTCACAGTATAGCTTTCCCAAATGTTATTACATTTTGGTATACTATCGCAAAACCTGAACGCAACAACTTCACTAGAGGAAATTTAATACATCCTGATTCTATTTTAATAAATATATATCTGCTTGTCCGAGAATGAATATCCACGGATGTGTACGGAATGAACAGGGACAGCTGTGGAGCATGTGGCTCGCACATGGTTAGTTTCAATCGCCGAAATAAGAGCAATAATGTATTTCATATGTGTCACTACAGTTCATGACAAAAGGCCTGATCTGCAGCTGTTAAGGAATGTGATATAGCATGGAATTATACTTGTGTCATGCTTTGTGAAAACGATGTCTTCTTAATATATTTATTAAAACTGCACACTCCAACTCTGAAAACGTTCATTTGAAATTAGCTTCCAGTGGAAAACATCGTTTCAAGTATAAGAATTGAATACAGCCGGCATATGTCTAACGAAGCTTTGACAACGTCACGTGACTTCCTCTGTCATAATGTAGGCCTCTGCTATAAAGGGTTAACGAGACATCTCACGAATCACTCACCTCACTAGCTCCTCGCCTTGCTGTTTGTTTGCACCGAAACCTAAATCAGTACAATGGCAGCAGCGCTAGGCAAGTGGCAGTGTTGTCCTGAGCTCACGACTGGATTCGAGGAGTTTATGGACGCGATCGGTAAGTGATGATTGTTATGACTGTTTTATTTCATGTAATGATGTTGCATGTTTATTTTCAATGTTATAAGGGTGCAGTGTATTATCAATATAAATGTCCGAAAATAAAACATAAAATCTCAATTGGACTTGAAAACCTGTAAACTATATAAGTCTACTGTCGTTACGTTCATGTAATGAATGATATTGCATATCTATTTTCAATTTTTCAATGTAAGGGTGCAGTTTATTATCATTAAATATGTCCGAAATTAAACATAAAATCTCAAATGGACTTGAAATCCTACAAACTATATAAGTCGTTATGTGTCTAAGGTATGTTGTATGATATATCCGTATAATTCAGGCACATGGTAAAGTATGAAAAAATTATAACGGCACAATATACTCTGGGGACTTCAAACACACATATGCACCGGCTGAGGCGGAACATTTGTGACAAGTATTTGAATTATCGAAGGATACTGTGCCTATTTTCTGACCTGAAACCACGCGGGGTCCTGAAATAAGACTTGTAGCGGGTAAATCATCACATGATGTATCAGGGCACCTGACGAAGGAGCAAGCATACACTCAAACACGTCGTGTTATTCACAATAAAGAAGATGACATCCACAAATCTTGCTTTTCCTACACTGGATTCAGTTGGGTTAATATATATCTTCTGGAAAATATTATGTAAAGTGAAAAAAGGGATACCATCCAAAAATAAACCAACAATTTATTGGGCTATTCAAAGCGCTCAAAGATCAAAATGTTGGAAAGGTTATGCAATGGTCGATTGACTCACATTGTGCCCACGTGTTGTGTGTGGTTTGTGTGGGCCTAGAAAACAACAGCTGAACTATTGTCAACACTCGGCCAAGTCGTTATGGTTGAAGAAAAGGATAACAAATAGGCCTCCCTCTGAATCCCAACACATCATGTGTGCTGAGTCGCCTGTCAGGAACTTAGTTAGATGGCGCTACATATATCCTAACACTCACGTGACCGCACTCCGTCAACATCACCACACCTTGGTCCCGTCCACGACACTAGGTTGGAATCCGCCAGGGTGATAACGTCCATGGCCATTTAACAGGGATGCGTTGTATATAAGCTCCTAGTATGGTGATCTGCCTTCAGTTGTTGGCGATCTATAGCCCATTTATATATTGTGTTGTCCCCTATAGTTAAAATGTTTTAGATTCAATTACTAGTTTTACATACATATCTGTGATACTCTAGTTGCTTTACTGTCCTTTGTCGGCAGGTTATAATCTCTCTATATATTCTCTTTCACTGTCAAGTGTTCTCGTCACGATATGGCTGAAATATTGCCGATGTGACGTTAAATACTAACTCAATCACTCACTCACCTTGTATATAATGAATTCGCTTTTCAATAGACCGAGATTATGAACACTAAAATATATCTATTATCTATATGTGTGAAATAACCGTGGTAACGTTTAAACCTGGCAACAAAATTTCAAAATGTTTGTACAACTTCCAGGTTTGTGTTATCATTTGATCCGACTACTCGAAAATATGTTAATAATATCATATGTTTATAATATCATATGTTTATAATATCATATGTTTATAATATCATATGTTTATAAGTTTTTATGTAAATACATTTATTGCATGATGAAAACTTGAATTTTACCTCTAATAAAGTGTAAATAAACTTAAGTCGGTTCAGTAGGTGAAAGTACAAATGCTCAGTATTTTGTAAACAAATGTGTCAACATAACCAATTACAATGCAGAATCTAAACAATACAGCTATGTGCATTAGCAGCTTGTATCGAGTATAAACTTTCTGACTATAAAGCATTTTACATTTTGTAGTACGTAACATATAATATTTCCACCGTTTGTTTTCGAGACTTGTTTTTCTATTTTGGGAAAACGGATCAAACAAACATACGTTATGGCACATGTGACGTGGAATAAAAGAGGGACTACACCTGATAGTGCCCATTTATAGTTACTGCTTTATGAGCGAGCTTTCCTGGCTTACATTCAGGTTACTGGGCAACGTTCCAGAAATTAACCGTAGCTCTAAGGTGATCGTGACTCCCATACTTTAACATGATAGTACGACTGTCATAGCGCTAAGGTGATCGCAACTTCCATACTTTAACATAAACGTACGACTGTCATAGCGCTAAGATGATCGTAACTTCCATACTGTAACATAAATTTACGACTGTCATAGCGCTAAGATGATCGTAACTCGCCTACTTTAACATAAATTTACGACTGTCATAGCGCTAAGGTGATCGTAACTTCCATACTTTAACACAGACTCACAAATGTCGCAGGGTTGCAATCGCGTAGAAATGGGCTCTGGTCTTAGTTAGCATCAATCATCCTCTCACGTCCAGATTGCTAGACTTGCACTGGTCAAATATAGCATTGGTCCCTCGCTTAAACCAAGAGTTCTTAAAACTTACCCTGGACCTGTAATAGCAGCCATCTCCAGACGCTAACATCCATGATGCTAGGATTGACTCCATTGTTGATCGCAATATATATTCATGCCAATAATGGTTGTCACCCCCCTCCCAACCCCAATCCCTTTATTAAAATTGAAGGGGGTGACAGCCATTATTGGCATGAGTATATTTTGATACTTTACCTGCATGCGAATCAAATTTATCTCAATATCACACAACAGGGGCGTCGGAGGAAGAGCGCCAGGCATCCCAGGGATCCCCGTTCACAATGGAGATGTCACGTGACGGTGACACTTGGGAGGTAGAGATGTATTACCCAAACAACGCAGCTTTGTCCCGGAAGTACTCCTTTACATCCGGTGTGGAGTTCAACTATCCCGGACGTTCCCCTGGCCACGCAGTGACGGTAAATATACGTTCTGACAGGTTCCAGGTTGTGCCCCTCTGCCACAGGGGCGTAGGTTAAGGTTACCTGGTTACACATTTAAAGCAATGATGTAGGTTAACGAAACCCGGTGACACAATCATGTAGGTTAAGTCAGTAAGTGAGCGAGTATTGTTTTACGCCGCTTTAGCAATATTCAAGCAATATCACGGCGAGAGACGCCAGATATGGGCTTCACACATTGTACCCATGTGGGGAATCGTACCGGGCATTCGGCAACCACTAGGCTACACCACCGCCCCATATAAGTTAAGGAAACCTCGTCACACAGTGATGTAGGTTAACAAAACCCAGTCACACAATGGTGTAGCCTAACATAACATATCACATTTTGTATATCACACAAAAAGGTCACACAATAGTGTCGCTTAACGAAACCCAGTCACACAATGGTGCAGGTTAACAAAACCCGGTCACATAATGGTCTAGGGTAACGAAATCCAGTAACACAATGGTGTAGTTTAACATAACACGGTCACATTTGAGGGTAGGTTAACCAAACCTTGGTCACACAATGGTGTAGGTTAACGAACCCAGTCACACAATGGTGTAGGTTAATAAAACCCAGTCACACAATGGTGTAGGTTAACAAAACCCAGTCACACAATGGTGTAGGTTAATAAATCCCAGTCACACAATGGTGTAGGTTAACAAAACCCAGTCACACAGTGGTGTAGGTTAATAAAACCCAGTCACACAATGGTGTAGGTTAACAAAACCCGGTCACACAGTGGTGTAGGTTAATAAAACCCAGTCACACGATAGGTTAAACAAAACCCAGTCACACAATGGTGTAGGTTAATAAAACCCAGTCACACAATGGTGTAGGTTAATAAAACCCAGTCACACAATGGTGTAGGTTAATAAATCCCAGTCACACAGTGGTGTAGGTTAATAAAACCCAGTCACACAATGGTGTAGGTTAATAAAACCCAGTCACACAATGGTGTAGGTTAATAAATCCCAGTCACACAATGGTGTAGGTTAATAAAACCCAGTCACACAATGGTGTAGGTTAATAAAACCCAGTCACACAATGGTGTAGGTTAATAAAACCCAGTCACACAATGATGTAGGTTAATAAAACCCAGTCACACAATGGTGTAGGTTAATAAACCCAGTCACACAATGGTGTAGGTTAATAAAACCCAGTCACACAATGGTGTAGGTTAATAAATCCCCCAGTCACACAATGGTGTAGGTTAAGGTTAATAAATCCCAGTCACACAATGGTGTAGGTTAATAAAACCCAGTCACACAATGGTGTAGGTTAATAAAAGTCCCAGTGTAGGTTAATAAATCCCAGTCACACAATGGTGTAGGTTAACAAAACCCAGTCACACAATGGTGTAGGTTAAATAAATCCCGGTCACACAATGCTGTATAAATCCCAGTCACACAATGGTGTAGGTTAATAAAACCCAGTCACACAGTGGTGTAGGTTAACAAAACCCGGTCACACAATGGTGTAGGTTAATAAAACCCAGTCACACAGTGGTGTAGGTTAATAAAACCCAGTCACACAATGGTGTAGGTTAACAAAACCCGGTCACACAATGGTGTAGGTTAATAAAACCCAGTCACACAGTGGTGTAGGTTAATAAAACCCAGTCACACAATGGTGTAGGTTAACAAACCCAGTCACACAATGGTGTAGGTTAATAAAACCCAGTCACACAATGGTGTAGGTTAATAAAACCCAGTCACACAATGGTGTAGGTTAATAAAACCCAGTCACACAATGGTGTAGGTTAACAAAACCCGGTCACACAATGGTGTAGGTTAACAAAACCCGGTCACACAATGGTGTAGGTAAATAAAATACGGTCACACAATGTATTAGGTTAACAAAACCCGGTCACACAGTGGTGTAGGTTAACAAAACCCGGTCACACAGTGGTGTAGGTTAATAAAACCCAGTCACGCAATGGTGTAGGTTAACAAAACCCGGTCACACAATGGTGTAGGTTAATAAATCCCAATCACACAATGATGTAGGTTAATAAAACCCGGTCGCACAATGATGTAGGTTAATAAAACCCCGGTCACACAATGGTGTAGGTTAATAAAACCCAGTGACACAATGATGTAGGTTAACAAAACCCGGTCACACAATGATGTAGGTTAACAAAACCCGGTCACACAATGATGTAGGTTAACAAAACCCGGTCACACAGTGGTGTAGGTTAATAAAACCCAGTCACACAATGGTGTAGGTTAACAAAACCCAGTCACACAATGGTGTAGGTTAATAAATCCCAGTCACACAATGGTGTAGGTTAACAAAACCCGGTCACACAATGGTGTAGGTTAATAAATTCCAGTCACACAATGGTGTAGGTTAACCAAACCCTTGTCACACAATGGTGTAGGCTAACGAAACCCAGTCATACAATAGGATAGGTTAACCAAACCCGGTCACACAATGGTGTAGGCTAACGAAACCCAGTCACACAATGGGTTAGTCAAGGCTAACGAAACCCAGTCACACAATAGGGTAGGTTAACCAAACCCTGGTCACACAATGGTGTAGGCTAACGAAACCCAGTCACACAGTGGTGTAGGTTTGTCAGGACAACACCATTGTGGACGTAGGTATTCGCGGGTGATGTCAGGGACTTTGGGTATACGAACCTGTGACGACGGGACATTTATCTATGACTGTGATTTGCTTTGATAGGGCGTGGTCACAGTGGCCGGCGACGCGCTTACCAGCAAGATGAAGTTTCAGATCGATGGCGACGTGAAGCGAGAGTGGGAGACCGAGACAAGGAGAGCTGGAGACTATCTGGAATACGTGAGTATTTAATAAAGCTAATATCTGGCAACACGAATACATTGTCGTTTCATTCAAGCTCAGATTTAGAATATAACAAAGCACTTGGTTGGTTGGTTGGTTGGTTGGGTTGGTTGTTGTTTAACGCCGCACTCAGCAGTATTCCAGGTATATGACTAATCGAGCCTGGACCAGACAATCCAGTGATCAGCATCATGCATGAGCAACGATTAACGCAAGTAGGATACGATAACATGTGTCAACCAAGTCAGCGAGCCTGACAACCCGATCCCGTCAGTCGCCTCTGGTGACAAGCATGGGTTGCCGAAGACCAGTTCTAACCCGGATCTTCACGGGTGGTTTGTCTGAGTATTTAAAGGCTGCTGTCGTTTAACTGGAACATTGGTGAATATTGCTAAACTAACAAACAAAAACAACAGCTTTTAATATCATGGTGTACGAGTGAGTGAGTGAGTATGGTTTTACGCCGCTTTTAGCAATATTACAGCAATCTCACGGCGGGGGACACCAGAAATGGGCTTCACACATTGTACCCATGTGGGGAATTGAACCCGGGTCTACGGCGTGACGAGCGAACGCTTTAACCACTAGGCTACCCCATCGACCCTCATGGTGTACGAGCTGGGTTTGACTCGGGCTTGAACAGTGTCAGCTTAATCTTTAAGTAGGGCACAGGAAATCTGGGTTCTTTTGTTTGAAAACATTAGTTCGTGAACATTCTTGCATCCAGTAATCTGTACCCCGGTGTTAAACAAAAACCCTGACAGCAGCATGACATTTGTCACACTTGTTGTTTCTTCAGAAAAGCATATTCAAGGGAAAGGAGATGGTTCACAAGCTCAAGAAGATCTGATGTGCTTGCACGAACTTGACGAACTTGACGTGCTTGCACGATTAAAGAGCACGAACTCCTCCGACCTTGGCACTCGTCACCTGCTGTGGATCGGAATAACGGAAACTGCCGACACTTTCTGCCTGCTGTCTTGTTGTTTTAGATATCGAATTCATGCAAACGTGTGTTCATAAATATGCATAAGCTTAATAATATGTTTGTTACACTTGAAGGTATGTAGTTTTACGAAGACATTTTGCTTTTGGATATCAATAAGAGCGATTAGAGTGTATTCTGTTATGTTAATGAGTATTGGCATTACTGTGCAGAACAAGAATGAATAGATAGAAGCTGACTACATCTGTTTATTCAACCGTAGAACGAATATGCCTATTTATTTTCTATCATTAGTTAGTCCCTGTCGCTTTAAATGCCTATGAATTTGATAACATCCTTTCGAATGTTTAGGACGGACGTATATAGACCCTGGGCCTCCTTTCACAAAGCACTAAAGTGATCGTACTGACTGACTGACTGAGTTTGGTTTTACGCCGCTTTTAGCAATATTCCAGCAACATCACGGCGGGGGACACCAGAAATGGGCTTCACACATTGTACCCATGTGGGGATTCGAACCCGGGTCTTCGGCGTGACGAGCCAACGCTTTAACCAGTAGGCTACCCCACCGCCCCTAAAGTGATCGTAAGTCACTAAGGTAACCTTAGTGTAATGTTAAGGAATGGGAGTTAAGGTTAACCTTAGTAAAGGTTGCTTCGTGAAGGGGCCCCACGTTCCTGTTGTACAAAAACAACTTTAGCGCTAATACTACCTTAAGTCTATGTTAAGGTATGGGAGTTACGGTCACCTTAGCGCTAATTAAGATTGCTTTGTACAAGGGCACCCAGACAAATAGAATTCGTATCGCAAATGCCTTAAGCGGGGAGGGAGAATATAAACTACGTACAAAATCATATTTTATTGTACCCAGTACCAGAGTACTACACTACCAGCTTTTTGGGTCTAATGTTTGTTTCGCGAACTACTGTCCGTTTCCTTCAGGTGAGAACTTATTGATCAGGCGTGAGAGTCAAATTGTTAACGTGTCAAAAGTTAGTGTACATTAAGACAAATCACACAAGTGGTTCTGTTGTGTATACTACCTCATTGCAAGTGTTTCGAGAAACCGTCGAAACAAATCCAGCCGAGCGTAAAGGCAATGATAGTAGTGAGAGAGTTAAAATTTGAACATGCCTTCCCGACCTGTATCATGTATTTAAACAATTCAGTTAAATAGTCTGGCCTGACCAAGATTTGAAGAATGATAGTTTTTAAACAGAGTGTATAATTGAGGATCTTGACAGGCTGAAAGTTCTTCAAACGGACGCCTCCCACCGCTAGTCATCATTATCAACAGTATATTGTGTAGACATGTAGTTTGTTGGCATTTTGTGTTTTGTGTCAAATAAATAAAAAATATCAAAAATCTCTATTGTCTGCTTAACAGTTTATTGGTACTGCATTCGGGCCCGAATGAATGAATGGGGCTTCACACTGGTTTTAGCAATATTCCAGCAACATTCAACAAGGGTGACACCACAAATGGTCTTCACACATTGTATCAGAGTAGGGAATCGAACCCATGTCTTCGGCGTGACGAGCGACTGCTTTAACCGCTAGGCTACCCGCTGCCGGAAACGTCCATGTACTGTGGACTGTCTCCGTGGTCTAATGGATAGTGCGTCAGCTGGAAGAGCGGGAGGTTGGTGGTTGTCTCTGCGCGTCAGCTTGAAGAGCGGGGAATTGGTGGTTGTCTCTGTGCGTCAGCTTGAAGAGCAGGAGGATGGTGGTTGTCTCTGTGCGTCAGCTTGAAGAGCAGGAGGATGGTGGTTGTCCGGTTGTCTCAGTGCGTCAGCTTGAAGAGCAGGAGGATGGTGGTTGTCTCCGTGGTCTGTGTAGTGCGTCAGCTGGAAGAGCAGGGAGGTCGGTGGTTGTCTCCGTGGTCTAGTGGATAGTGCGTCAGCTGGAAGAGCGAGGAGGTTGGCGGTTTGTCTCCGTGGTCTAGTGGATAGTGCGTCAGCTGGAAGAGCGGGAGGTCGGTGGTTGTCTCCGTGGTCTAATGGATAGTGCGTCAGCTGGAGAGCAGGAGGTTGGTGGTTGTCTCTGTGCGTCAGCTGGAAGAGTGGGATGTTGGTGGTTGTCTCTGTGCGTCAGCTGGAAGAGCAGGATGTTGGTGGTTGTCTCTGTGCGTCAGCTGGAAGAGTGGGAGGAGGTTGGTGGTTGTCTCTGTGCGTCAGTTGGAAGAGCGGAGGAATTGGTGGTTGTCTCCGTGGTCTAGTGGATAGTGCGTCAGCTGGAAGAGCAGGGAGGTCGGTGGTTGTCTCCGTGGTCTAGTGGATAGTGCGTCAGCTGGAAGAGCAGGAGGTCGGTGGTTGTCTCCGTGGTCTAGTGGATAGTGCGTCAGCTGGAAGAGCAGGAGGTTGGCGGGTTGTCTCCGTGGTCTAGTGGATAGTGCGTCAGCTGGAAGAGCAGGAGGTCGGTGGATTTGTCTCCGTGGTCTAATGGATAGTGCGTCAGCTGGAGAGCAGGAGGTTGGTGGTTGTCTCTGTGCGTCAGCTGGAAGAGTGGGATGTTGGTGGATGTCTCTGTGCGTCAGCTGGAAGAGCAGGAGGTTGGTGGTTGTCTCTGTGCGTCAGCTGGAAGAGCAGGATGTTGGTGGTTGTCTCTGTGCGTCAGCTGGAAGAGTGGGATGTTGGTGGTTGTCTCTGTGTGTCAGCTGGAAGAGCAGGAGGTTGGTGGTTGTCTCTGTGCGTCAGCTGGAAGAGAGCAGGAGGTTGGTGGTTGTCTCTGTGCGTCAGCTTGAAGAGCGGGGAGTTGGTGGTTGTCTCTGTGCGTCAGCTTGAAGAGCAGGAGGATGGTGGTTGTCTCTGTGCGTCAGCTTGAAGAGCAGGAGGATGGTGGTTGTCTCTGTGCGTCAGCTTGAAGAGCAGGAGGATGGTGGTTGTCTCCGTGGTCTAATGGAGAGTGCGTCAGCTTGAAGAGCGGGAGGTCGGGAGGTTGGTGATTAGATCCCCGGGTGCAAGGACTGGTCGGCTCTGAGTCAGTATACTGTGACTGAATGGGGTATCGGTATTAAACGCTGACATGGTATTTCACCTTCATTATCTAGACCCTTTCACTTTACTGAACCATTGTACTGCGGTAAATGTATACATCGTGCATTAGAGGGAAGGCTGAGACAATGTGATCAGATGTTGTAATCTTAAATAAACCGTCATTCGAGCACCTACTGATATTTTACGTGCGCATCGTATCGATCGTACAGCGCACTAACAGTATTGGCGATTCGGCGCCTGACTCTGAGGGCATGGGTTCGAATCCCGGATGGAACTCAACGCAACAAAAGTACTAGAATATGTACTTTACTGAGAAAAAGTAATCCCAAATATAACATGTTACATTTGACCACTTTCTAAATGGCATTGTGTATTCACTTCTAAACGTTGCAGATTGGATGCATATGAGTAAAGCCTTTGCATATTTGTCCCAAAGGCTTTCACCACTCCTCACAGTAACAGAAAACCAAAACTTGAGGTATTTGTATAAAAGGTTTAATTCACTTCTCAATAAAAACCGTGGGAAATACAAGCTGTGGCGGTACTGTCAAGGTTGGACAGGTCAAAGTTCAAATTGTGAGGATGCTGGGATACTTGGTGACTAGTCAAGGTAAAAATAATCCCAAGTGATTTCATATTCACAGTAATGACAATGAAAATGACATGACCAATGAAAACAAATGTACATTGTGTTATAATACACAGGAACAAATGACCCCAGTGTAAAACAATGGCAAAAACATCACACCAGTGAAAACATTTACACATAAATATAATACATATTCAGTACCTCGCATAGGAGCTCGTTAGGGAACCAGTTGATATTCTGGGAGCAAATACTGGACATATCTCCTCAGATTTTACAGTTGGACACACTGAATATACTATAAAAATGTCCTGAAAGACCAACTCGAGCAAGCAAGTCTGCCTATAAGCATTTACCACTCATCCCATTATGTGTTTTATTTCACGGTTAAGAATATCTTTGAAAGTTGAACTCTTTAACTTTAGTTCTGACCGAGTTTACATGAACGAGAATGAGTCTTTGTACATTTTACTATTTACCACTTGT